GAGAGAGAGAGAGAGAGACAGAGTGTGTGTGTGTGTGTGAGAGTGTGTGTGTGTGTGTGAGAGTGTGTGTGAGAGAGTGTGAGTGTGTGTGTGTGTGTGTGTGAAGTGTAGTGTCGGCCCCAGACAAACACAGTCACTTGAGAGCTTTAGGGGACGCCGAGGGAGCTGCTGAACACTTAGTTATAAAAGCCCGTCTTGACTCTGTACTCTCACGGAGTACACGCCTCTTTCCCATGTCATCGCCGTTACTATTCTTTTAAAACATAAATGGGCTTCCACGGAGGCGGGTGGCCATCTCAGCTCGTCCAGGACAGGGTAGTTCCTGAGACTCGGAATTATCTTTTGTTGCGTCTTTGGTTAGTGTTTGTTTGCCCGGGATGTCCTGGAACTTGCCAGGTCATCTGGGCTGGCCTTGCACTCACTACAGCCCCCCTGCCTTTTGTAAACAACAAACAAACAAACAACCTGGCTTCCCAGAATCTTCCGTCTGGGACTTCCTTTGTCCATGACTTCAACCAGAAGGCGTTGGAGGTGTGTTTGTCCCTATACAGGAGTTGTGCAAACCACCTCGTGTTTTTTATCATGTTTCGGTCCAATGCGGAGATGACGGCAGCATCAAATGCAGTTTTTCCGGCTGTGCAGGGAGGGATGTGGGCATGTTAGCATTTGGAAATGGAGGTGGCCTCCAGATCTTCCTCTAGTACAATCTTGGCTGTCTCTTGTTCTAACACTGCCTCTGAATTTTGAGTCAGGAGCTTCACCTCCAAGGCGGGCCCGTGTGTTCCTAGTGGAGTGTGGACGCCGTCCCAAATGGGAGCAACCTGGAAAGGGCACCTATTCCACGTTCCCTTCAGCTGGGGCATTGACTGCAGTGAACCCTGGAAAGGGCACCTATTCCACGTTCCCTTCAGCTGGGGCATTGACTGCAGTGAACTTACTGTGGTGGGGGGAGGGGGGGGGATGGCCAGGATGGCTCCCGGCCCATCGGCCCTGCACCTTCATTCTAGGAATCCAGGGCTCCTGTCACAGAGTCCGGGCTGAGCCTTCCAGGAAGCCGAGGGGTTGCTCGCCGGCGTGGCAGGTACCAGCAGCGTGCTCAGTGACATGACCTCGAGATTCTGAGGGCAGGGGCAGCGCCAGGTGCTATTTCCTCCAGTCCCCAGGTCTGGAGAGGATTTCCGTGATGGCTCAGGCCTTTCAAGGGGTGGATGGGAAAGGTCCCACCCGGGTCCACCCTTCCTCTGCCGTGCTCGGTGGCCTCTTGGCTACTCCATGCCTGTGTCTGTTCATGGGAGAAGCACTCTGTAGGGAAGGTCCCTTTAGCTTACCCAAGGTTGGCATCCGTCCATCTTTTTCTCTTTCTTGAACATTTTTTAACCTTTATTTATTTGCGCAGGTGTGGAACTTGTGGAGGTCAGTTGGTTCTCCCCTCCCCCAACGCGGGGTCAGAGGGCTCAACCTAGGCCATCAGGCTGGGCAGCAAGGGCCTTTCTTTACCTGCTGAACCATCTCCTCGGTCCTCACTCAGTCTTGTGAAGTGAAAATAACTGACGAAGAAGAGTAGTGTTGAAGGATGATTCTGAGCTCGTCTCTGTAAACTTCAGTACTTAGGATTGGCAAGTGTAGGGAACTGCAGTCACCTGGCTGGAAGGTCTTCCTCACTCTGATGAAGATAGGTTGGTTTCATTTTCGCCCTTCCTTCCATCAGGCTTGAGGCAATGGGTGAGCAAGGTGGAGGCAGGCTGTGGACCAGCCTGGGACCGATAGTGTCCCTGGGAGCACAGAGCCTTCCAGGCAGGACCTTTCAGAGCTTTCTCATGGTGGAGCATCCTGAGGGATCCTGCGTGATCTCACAGGATCTTGGGGACCTCAATACAGTTTTGTTTCAAGCTTTCTTCGTTTCTCTGCAGGGTCCTGGGAGACGGGTGCGGCATGGGTGAGAGCTGTGGGCGGGAGCTCATTCCTCTAGGCCTCTGGTTGGATCAGGACAGGAAGAAGAGAACAGAATTAGATGGGAGGCCTGTGGTGTTTCACTCACCCCGCTCAGTCCCAGCTCTCCTACTGCCTGGGAACATTGCTACCAACATGCCGATCCATGATCTGATGCCTTAGTTTCTCTGTATTCCAAAAGACATTAGAAAGCAGGGCCCAATAAAGGAAATAGACCTATTTACAGTTTGGCCAGGCTCGGGAGAGAAAGCAGCTGTTCTCCAGTGGGTCTGGGCCAGCCTTGCAGCTGGCAGAAGTCAGAAGGATCCATGGATTTTGCTGTGACGCTGCGGCCTGTCCTTCCTTGGGGGGTGGGGGGATGGGTCCTCCTAGGCCTCATGAGCAACAGGTGTCAGGAGCATGAGGGTCAGGGTCTGTGGATGTTTAGAGGGGAATGAGAGGTGCTAGTGAGGCCTGCAGTCGGCACTCTGGGTCCGTTGGCAGGCCTTTGTGTGCCCCTTGAGTGTCTGCTCTGTGCCTCTGAGGCTACTGGATTCGCGGCCTGCGAAAGGAATTGTTTTCAAAGTTGCGTTTTAAGTATCTGGGTGGAAAGGGGCTGGGCAGAGGCCGTCACGGGACGTTCTAGAGTGAAGAGGCAGGCCTAGGTTTGAAACCTTGTCTGGTCTCACGGAGCTTACCCTCCAGTCTGGGAGATCCACGCACACAGAGCAGTGGCCCTCGCCGCTGCCACCTGGGACAAGCCGTACAAGCCTGAGAGCCTGACATTCATCCCCAGAAGCCATGGTGGGAAGGGAGAAAAGACTCCTGAAGGTTGTCTGGCCACCTCCTGCATGTCACACACACACATGCTCACGTGTCACTCCCAAAAAGGTTTTTGAAAGTATTTTCAAAATAATGAGTCCTGGGGAATCATCTGTGCTTTCGTTTTGCGTGTTGTCCTGATGTCTGGAAAGGTGGGTGACGCCTTTTGACCCACAGCTATCATTCTTTTCACCCCTTTCTTCGGCACGGGAAGCCCTGGTTTTGCTCAGGACGAGATATATTAGCTTACCATGTGCATTTCTGCCCCAGCCATTTCCCGCAGGGTCTCCATTTGTTTCAGTGGGGGAAAGGACTTAGTATCTCACTAGGAGGCACACCCCTGAATTTCTTCTGAGGTGGCTGGGGTTTGAGACAGGGCCTCACTGTATAACCCAGGCTGGCCTCTCGCGAGTCCCTCCTGCTCCAGCCTCTGGAGTGCCTGGGATTACCGCCACACCCCAGTGGTCTGGAACTTTGTTAGGAGACATTTTGGGCTCCTCTGTGCACAATGGATCGGACTGGAGTGGAGACAGGGAGATGGGTCACAGGCTTGGGCTCACACCCAAGGGCTCACACTCAAAAGCTCACACCCAGGGGCTCACACTCAAGGGCTCACACTCAAAGGCTCACACCCAAGGGCTCACACCCAAGGGCTCATACTCAAAAGCTCACACTCAAGGGCTCACGGTCCCTTGAACTTGACCTTCGATTATATGCTTAGCCTGGTGCCTGGAAGCAGGTGAACCCGGTTAGTGTCAGCCAGCTCTTCTGCCATCCACCCTCCTCGTGTCAAGTGAGGAAAACCAGATTCAGGAGCTTGGCCAGAACTCAGGATTGCGCAGGAATGATGAAGCACTTGAACCCAGGCCCTCCAGGCACACCATGTGATGTGTCGTCCAAGGGGCTCCTGGGGTGTTTGGTTTCGTTCTTTGAGACAGTCTGGTGTGGCCTAGGCTGGACTCAGACTTGTGCGTAGCAGAGGCTGGCACTGGGTTCCTGGGCTAATGACTGCGATTATAGGCATGTGCCACCATGCCTGCTGAGTTCTTGTTTTTTATTACGCTTTCATTAAATAAATTGAGGAGGTACACATGCCACGGCGTGCGTGTGCGTGTGCGTGTGCGTAGGTCAGAAGATGACCTGGGGGAGCCAGTTCTCTCCTTACACCATGTGGGTTCCAAGGATGGAATTCGGGTCTGTCAGGCTTGGCAACCCCTGCCTTGATCCGCCGATCCATTTCATCAGCCCTTGTTTTTGATTTTTGACACAGACCCTGCGCCCTCCGTGAGGCCACCCTGCTCCCACTTGGTGGGGCAGAAGAGGGGTCCCAGCTGGAGCTTGAGGGCTTGGATCTCACTTCCTACTTGTACCCGGAATTTCCACATCACTGACCTTGCCAAGCTGAAGCGGCCTTAGGAGCTGCTGGACTTGCACAACCCTCCAGCCCTCCTGAGCTCCGTTGCCACGCATGCCCACAGCAGGCAGGTCAGCACAGCGAGGCTGCGGCACGTTGTGTCGCAGGCAGGCGGTGCTGAATCTGCCTGGCTGGCGGCGGTGGTGCAGAGCCCTGACCCCAGGAAGTGGGTCTAGAGCGGAAAGGGCAAGCTGGGGGACAGATTGTTCCTCCTCAGGGAGACGGTTCGCCGTGGGGCTCAGTTCCCACCGACCGTGATACCTCAGTTTCCAAGGCTGGCGGAAAGTCCTGGGTCTTCTCGGGTCTGGCTCCTGGAGGTTACTCCACTTCACAGAGAGGCTGTGTGTTGCAATAGTCCAGCCCCAGGACCTGCCTGAGGGAGGCCTCAGCTGGCACACTTGGTGGAAGAGATGCTCCCCACCCACCAGCTGATACCAGGTAAAGCAAAGGGTGAGGTTTCCCAGGGCAGCCAGCGCGACCTTGAGGAACAGTGTGAGCCAAGTACAGCTGTCATGGCGGTCACTGTGGGCTTGAACTGTGTTCATGCCAGGCTAGGCAGTTCACCCTGTGAGGGCCATCACCCAACAGGCTGGTGAGGCTGCTGCTCTCCCTGCCCCTGTTTTGCAGATGGGGAAGTTAAGGCTCACATTTAACTCTCCTACAGCTTGAAGTTGAGATGGGCTCGCCTGGCATTCACTGGGCACTGCCCTGTGCTGGGCACCATGGTCGTGTCTTTCTGAGTCAACACTCCCAGAGTGCCCTGGCATGTACAATCCCCCGAGACTTTTGCGTCTAAGATGCACAGGCTTTTCTCGGTTGCGTTTTCCTCTCCAACGTCCCAATAACTCCAACGCCGCGCATGCCCTGTGCTCCAGCACCTGGTGGACTGGGCACCAGCCACGCGCCTCCTTGCTTCCTGCTTGCTCCGGGCCTGTCAGCCGGCCTTCTCTGGAGACCCATCCTCTGGCATGGGTTCAGTTTCGGAGCCGCTGACTCTGACGGGACCTCGTCTCCTGGCTGCTCTTTCCCTGCTCTTTGTGGGTTGTTTTCCTTTGGGGACCACCCGGACAAGAGCCCACCCTGAAGCCCAGGCTGGCTCAAAGCCCACTGCAGTCTTCTGCCTCAGCCACACAGGAACCACCACACTCAGGCTCGTCTGAGCCGGTCGAACCACTGAGCCCACAGCCTGGTCCCTCTCCATATTAAGTCATCCACGTGCCCCCAAGCTGTGGGACGACAGGCAAGCCGCTCCACCTCTCTGGGGGTCGGGGTCTCTTCTTTAAAACGATGAAAGAATAATGCTTTCAGGGGCTGGAGAGACGGCTCAGCATGTGCTGCTCTTGTAAGGGAGTTTGATCCTCAGCACCCCACATCAGGCAACTGACAGTCGCCTGTAACTTCAGCTCCAGGGGGGTCTGATGCCCCCTTCTGGCCTCTGCAGGCGAATGCATTCATGTGCATAGACAGACACATACGCACAGAATTAAAAATAAACTTTTTTTTTTAAATACGTTTTGAGCTAGGTGTGATGACGCATGCCTGTAATCTCAGTACTTGGGAGGCTACGGCAGGAGGCCACTGTTAACTCAAAACCAGACTCTGTCCCCTACCCATATCCCACCCCCCCACCTCCAAAAAAAGAATAGGAAAACAGAATCGTCCACACGTGGTAGCCCATGCTTTTAGTTCTGACACTCAGAGGCAGAGATAGGCAGATCTCCATGAGTTCAAAGTACAGGAGTGTGGCAAAGCCAAGCGGAGGTGGTCCTCTATGCTGGCAAGCGCCAGATTGTGGAGAGAGGCAGGTGAGGACTGAACCAGTGCCAGAACTGTGGTGGCAGGTAAGGGTGTGCTGGTGTGTGCTGCAGGGAATTCCAACCCCGCTCTGCCCGGGAGCACCAGCCAAACCCCTCCCCTGTGGCCTGATACGGGCACACCACAGCCTCCTGCTGAAAGGTGACACTTGGTAGGCTGGGTTCCCTTAGTCACCCTGTGGGTACTTGGGAGCCTCAGATGAGCATGGAGCTGGTGGCCGTGTCCCCAGTGTCGGTAAGTGGCCCCAAACACTCGGGAGCGAAACTTGGTAGCAGGAGGAAAAAAATCCAAGTATAGATGAGGACTTCGGGACACTGACACGCTGTTCTGTCCCTCCAAGACCTCGCCTAGACATGGTGAATGTGTTGGGTTTTTAGGGGGAGGGGGCGCGGAATGCAAGCATGCTCTCCACCTGCCGCACTGTGGTGCTGGCTGCCGGCCACCGCTTGCTGGAACCTATTCCTGCGTCGGTCACGGGAGGCTCGTGGCTCAGGCACCAGACTGCTGTCGCTTAGGTCTGAATTGCAAGAAGAAAAAAAAAAAAAAAAAAAAAAAAAGCTTAAGTGTGTGGCTTAGTGGTTGAGGACTTACCTCACTCCTGCAAGGTCCCGGGTTCGAGTCTAGCCCTGGGGAACAGAAGAAAGAAAAGAAACTAAATAAAAACTTCGGCTAGCATCCGGTTTGGGCATCAGCTGGGTCAGTTCAGGGGAAGGCAACCCCTTGGGTGACAGAGGCTCACTTGGCAGGCTCCTCTAGTCTCTGTTGTTCACGAGCTCAGAAACTCAGACCACTTCCCTCGCTGGCAGCTGTTAGTGGAGACCTTGGTCTGCCACCCCTTCTTAAAGGCGCACGGCCAGATGTGGTATCTCAGCACGGCTTAGAGTGTCCTGGGTCACGTGATAAGTATTTGTATCTGTGTGTTGGGGGGGCGGGAGGAGGTGTGGGTGCTGGGCCAGGATTTGAGCTGGGCTGAATGACTGAGCTGCTCCGAGCCTCAGGTGTCCAAACCATGAAGTTGAAGTCAGGTAAAGACAGTCTAATGGGACCGCAATGCTCTGGGACTGGAGGGATTGGCTGAGGAGGAGGCACACGTGTCTGTAAACGGAGTGTGCGCAGAGATGTCATTGTGAGAGCAACTCCCGGGGAGGGAGGAGGTTCTGCATTTATGTGGGGGTCGGGGGCAGGCCCAGAGGGAGTCTTAGAAGCTTTATCAAATAGTTCCTCTCTTGCAATCAGTTGGAAAACTTCTGTTCTGGTGACCTCTGGGTCCTATGCTATGATCAATAAATAAGAAAGAAAGGAAGGAGGGAAGGAAGGAAGGAAAGAGAGAGACAGGGGGAGGGGGACTTGGTGGGGCACACCTTTAATCCCAGCACTTGGGAGACAAAGGCAGGTGGATCTCTTTGAGTTCGAGACCAGCCTGGACTATATAGTTCCAGGACAGCCAGAGCTTATATAGTGAGACCCTGTCTCTAAATAAATAAATCACTAAATAAGGAAAAGACCCTGAAGGTTTCCACATGGGTAACCCTGGCCAAGCTTGGCTTTAGAATCACGCCTTCCTATCAGAACAGGATTGGCATTATGAAGCGAGAGGGGGCCAGCCCCCGGGAAGGGCTGGTTTCTGTTCATTAGAGTTTCCAGGTCTGAGTGTGGCAGCTTGGCCCACCACGGTGGTCACCAGCCACCCTTGTGTCCGCCGTTTGTGTCAGTTTGTTTTCTGCGGCCGTGGCAAAGCACCTGATGCTGGATATCAAAGTTAGTGTTGTTGCAATATGGCAGACGGCATCCTGATGGGACACAGGCATGAATATGGAGAGGCAGGAGGGCAGGGGGATTCAGGAGCCAGGCTCCTTCTTTTTATGGCACCTCATTACCACAAGTCACCTGGAGACCAGCGCTAGTCCCTTTCATGGTCCGTGTCTCCATGGTGGATTAGCTTGCATTGACTGCACCTCTTTTTTTTTTTTTTTTTTCAAGACAGGGTTTCTCTGTGTAGCTTTGGAGCCTATCCTGGATATCGCTCTGTAGACCAGGCTGGCCTCGGACTCACAAAGATCCGCCTGCCTCCTGAGTGCTGGGATTAAAGGTGTGCGCCACCACCGCCCGGCCTGACTGTACCTCTTAAAGGTTCCTGTACTCACCAACATCTTTCCAGCTGGGGACAGGCTCCCAGCACATTACCCTTTAGGGGCACGGCAGCGGTGGCGTAGCCATAGTCCCAGGCCACTGTTCTCCCAGGCAGCAAGCATTTCCTAAGCAGGTTCCGTGGACTTTGCATAACACAACACTTGCGCCATCTCCCAGGCTTCCCAGTGAGAATGGGCACCAAGAGCGGTCATTAGCTCACCAAAGGTCCAATCCATCTAGGTGATTTTTTTCCCCCATCACGCTCTTTCCTCAGCAACAACTTAAATACTTTTCACATGCTCATTATTTCCAGCTTGACACTATTTCATATGTACACATGTGGAACTTGCCAGAAGCGCCCTTGATTGTATCAGGGTCTCTCTCTCTGGCTTCCTCCTGCAGAGCTATGGAGGTGACATCCACTCATTTCCTTCCATCCCAGGTGCACTTGCAGAAGCCAGACCTCTAAAATGCGCAAGTCCAGCGTGGTTCATACCATTGCTTGGTGCTCAGTGTGTCCATGGGTCCATTCGTTCAGTGCCATTATTAAACACCTACTATATGCTTGGTACCATGCCGGGCACAAGGATCTGTAAGTGAATGTCCCTGCGGGCCACCTTGTCAAGGAAGATGAAGATCTCTTTCATCCTTGACGCCCCTCCCCGATCATCATGGTGGAATCTGTGCCCACAGGACCATGGCAAAGGTGAACTGATCCCCGAGAGAGAGCAAGGCTTCACGGTTGTGAGGGTGCCTGATGTGCAGCCAGCAGGGTGTGTGAGGTGGGAGTGGCCTCTCAGCGGAAGCCAGGGGTGGAAGAACCCTTGACCTCCCCGCCACACCCGCCCGCCTGAGGAACCTGTTGGACCTCTGAGAGTGCCAGGGTCGCTTCTGCAACCTCTTGGCAAAGCTATCTTGTCAGTGGACCCAGGAGCACTTCTCCCGAGGGTCTTGTATGATATTAAAGGACCAGCCTTAATATTACACTTCCCAGGGGCTCAGGAGAGAGACTGCGGACAGCGAGAATTATTTTCAGGAAATGAATCTAAGTACACCAAGCTCTGAGATAAAATCCTGTCTACACAGCTTCAGTTCTGTTCTCGTGCCCAGCTCCTCTCTTGCCTAATTTCTCTCTACCTTTATCTGCTGTTCCCTCTAAGTTCTATCTCAAGTTTCTTCTTCTTCTTCTTCTTCTTCTTCTTCTTCTTCTTCTTCTTCTTCTTCTTCTTCTTCTTCTTCTTCTTCTTCTTCTTCTT